CACCATTTCATAAAATTTTTATTCGTTTCATTTTCTTTGTTCGCGTGTTCGCGCCGTTTCGCGTTTTTGTTGAGTATATCTCTCCTGATGATTTGATACCTTCTTGCATTCGGAGACAGACAGGAGAAGGACAGGTCATGTGAACTCCGAACCTCTCCCTCCAAACTTTAGGGCTGATTGCGCCACTGGCACAAAGGGATTGTTATTGTCCTATGTATCTACAAACGGATAAATACAGTGGTTAAGGCGGTCCAGTAAATCCAGCTTCCAGAAAGGGTCTGACTATGACGCTGAGCGGCCCCACTACGTCTGTGACACTATTCACTAACACTATTCCAGCGCATTTTGTCAGCACCTACACCACCCTCAGCTCTCCAACGATCCCATTCTCCAGATCATGACCTCTACGCTGCACACATGCCCACTTCTCAAGGGCTTGTGCGTTCTGAAATGGGAATGCACGTAAACCCTTTCTCATCCTCTCCCAGGTCTGAATCTCCTGACTTCCCATAAGAAAATAATGCCAGCAATCACACTTTAGAATGGGTATCCGAATCACCAGATCTCTTCTGTCACGTTGAGGAAATGCAACTGCCCACCCCACTGCCACCAGGGTCTGTAACACACTTATGCGACATCTGCATGACTCGTGATAGAGATTCTGCCCTCGTCCCTTGCGGCCACACGGTGTGTGCTATGTATGCTTCAGTCATAATTGCGCAAGACGGTAAATGTCCACAGTGTAGACAAGTAACTGGTAAATTTTTCATATTTTCTTAAGGAATCAAACCGTTCTCTATCACTCTCTCAATCAAACAATTAATTGAACTTGTTTCCATGCTTTCATAAATATTCCATAGTGCCCTGCCCCCCCCCCTAAAAAAAAATTCTTGATTTTGAATTTTGTGCAATCGACTGTGCATTTGCCAAATCTTTTCCCACATTCTGCATATGATAGAATGAAGCACCGTTAGTCACTTAGCCCACACATACAGGTATTTTTCCCACAATATGCGCGACATCGACGTGATGCTATCGCCACCACCACCTTCAACTATGCTAGTTTGTCGGTGTTATTCTATGTCGGCGTAGCTCCTGTCTTGAATATTTATTTTCGATGCAAATCCGGGTAAGCTCCTGTCGAAGTAACTCCGTGTCGATGTACTTCTGTCGGTTTTATTCCGAGCAGCAATTTTGTCGATATAATTCCGTTCCATGTTGCTCCGTGTCGATGCACTTACTGTCTAGCTTATTCCGTGTCGACAGTGGCGTAACTCGGTAATTTGCCGCCCGGGGCGAGTGACTGTTACTGCCGCCTCCATACTCCAGGCCCCCCCCCTCCTTGCTAATTGTTATTTTCACATGCACACACGTTTTACTGGATAATGAGATTTATTAAATATTTCTGTTATTTAGGACTGATTCTCCGCACAAATAATGTAATCAAAATCAATCCTTACAAACGACTACAATCAAAATGCAGCTCTTCTTGATTTACTGGCTGCAAAATCTTTATTAACTTCGCTGAAATCAATGGAAGAAGCAACTTGATGTTCGATTGACAGGGTAGCAAAATTTGCAAGTCTTTCTTGAGACATTGTAGATCGTAGGTACGACTTAATCAGCTTCATTTTGCTGAAAGAGCAAAATGAAGCTGATTTCTCCTGATAGTTTTGCTCTTTTGAGAGAAGCAATGATATATTTATAGTCCTCATACAGTTCAGATCCGTTCAAGTCATTTGGATAAAGAAGCGCCAGATCAACACACTTCTTACGAAGCTCGGTAAGCTGCTCATCAGCTTCACAGTTCAACTGATTGACAAAAGAATCAGTTGTGCAGAGAAAACCAATCCGATTCTTTAATTCTAGCAAATGTGAAAATCGATCTAATATTTCGACTCCAAATTTATCCAAAATTTCCCTAAGGAAACGGCGCATTTCTTTCCGAGTGCTTAATCCAGCATCAGGCATGGAGCGTTTTTTTTCATACGTCTGTCAGCTAAAACACCCCATTAATTGCACATATCTTCAGTTTCAGAATGCCTGTAGTACATAGCTCATTTTTCCAGACTTCAATTTTGTCAATCAAAGTTCCCAGTTGAATCAAAGCTTGATTGAAAGTAATCTTTTCATTTCTGAATTCGGTCAACAGCAGGGTGCACCTCTGACCAGAAACACAGGAGAGCTGCAAATTCGAACTTTTGGACACCAATGAGAATCAGACCAGCGTCACCACGTGAATTGATCGTTTCAGAGGGAGAATCCCGTATTTGTTCAAGTGCTGCTATTACGTTGTCAAGTTGACTGGAAATGGTCGTCACTGCAGCTGATTTTGAGCTCCATCTTGTGTCAGAATGGCTCTTGACAGTAATGTTTACAAACTCTTTCAGAACTTCCCATCGATGAGTTGAAGACGAAAAATACACAAACAGATGTTCTAGGGTTCCAAATAAAGTAACAGCCTGAACATTCACATGTGCTGCATGAACGCCGACCAGATTTAGTGAGTGATTATTGCAAGGTGCAAAAACAGCCAATGGATTCACATCTAAAATCCGTTTTTGAACACCAGAATGAACACCAGCCATTGTAGCTTGATTGTCGTATGACTGACCTCTGCAGTCTTGAAGATCCAATCCATCCTGTTCCGGTTTCTTTGTTATTTCAGCTGTGATTGCCTCCGCTGTTTTTCCATGAATTGGAATGAAGTCAAAAAAGCTTCCTTGGTTTTTAGAGAGCCACGCTCAATCTCAACAAATCTCACAATTTGCGACATCTGTTCTATATGCACATTGTCTGGAGTTGTATCAAATATGATACTGGAATACTTCACTTTCTGGATTGTCAGAATTATGGACTGGCGCACTTTTGCTCCCAATATGTTGATCAGTTCATTCTGTATAGCTGGCGTCAAACATGACAAAGAATTGGGTTTCGCAGAAACTGAACCCAAGTGTTCTCTCATGAATGGGTCAAATTTTGCCAAGAATTTCATCAATGCCAGAAAATTTCCAGGATTTTCATCACTGTCTAGGGACTCACGGTGACCTCGAAAAGCCAAGTTCTGCTGGGCAAGCGTCTGAACTACTGCAGTAATACGCTCAAGAATTTGTTTCCACTTCTAAGCAGCTTTGGCAATTTGCGACTGAACGTGGTCATCAATAATCCCGCCCTTTTTTAATCCACGCTCTAACTCCTTCCACCTTAAAATTGCTGAGCAATGTGCAGGGCTGCTTTCATGATTCTGGATGCGTGGGTTTAGTTTCTGCCACTTTGAGAACCCTTTTTCAAGATCAAAACTGCTTCGCTGACTAGAAGGACTATCGCGATTGAACAAACTACAAAAGAGGCAAAAAAGTGTTTTTTTTTTTTCTTGGGAGAGTAGCACATCTAGGTACGCTGCACCTTCTCACCATTTTGCAGCGTTTTTTAAGCCACTTTTTAGACAAAGATCGTCCACTTGTTTCCTCTGTCGGAAATGTACTATCACTATTCTGCAGTTCGTCAGTTCCTCTCTTTACCATAAGATATCGAAAAGAACCAGAAATCCGAATTGGCCAAGCTCCCATGTCTTGAAACGCTGCAATATCTACAATTTCATCACTGACATCGACAAGCACATGTTTCTTTGCAGCTGGGGCTTTGCTGATTTCTTCTTTGCTGGTTACTTTGCTGCTGTCATTGCTTGTATTTTCAGATAATCCGCCTTCTTGACGTACTAATACTTCTGTTTCCTGGAAATTCGGACTTAACTTTTGCAGTTCATCTTGCTCATTGTCAGTAGTTGTCAAATCACTTGAATGCTTTAGCAATTGTGGCAAATTGGGGTCATTTTCTAGGTGACTGGAATGACTAGTAACTTCCAGTGCATTGCTTGAATTTTCTGGAACAGATTCATTGCCTTGATTTTCAGAAACTGGTGCAGAATCTTTCCCTGCTTTCACAAAAGCTTCCATAAAATCTTTGGAACTCGAACTGAAAACAACCCGCGTTGCACTGAGCTAACAGAGCTGTCTTTTGAGGTCTGCTTTGCAAACACTTCTCAACAGATTGACTGGAAAATCGGCAATCACAGAGATTACATACTGATCTAAAAGCTTGAGCAATGCGAAGTGCACAGTTTGTAGAGTTAAAAATTTGCAAATGATTCTCATTACTTTCCGGACACCTTAAAGTACAAAGCTTGAGAAAAGATTATCCTTATCACGCCTGAAGTTTAACGGTTTAAGGTTTAGGTAGGGACGCTAAGAGTTGTTTCTGCTCAAATTAGCATCCCAAGTCAGATCGAGCGCTCTTCCTAGTCCCACCCGGAATCCTTCGATGGGCCTAAGGATAACATTTTTTGCTGGAGCGAGTTAAATAAATGTTGGGAGGCAAGGAGACAAATGTGAAAGAAAATCTGGACGCGTAGGGAATACACAGTGTGGTTCGTTGTATCGTTAGGATTCGAGAGGCTATCTGCTTATTATGTATGGTAAGTATACATTTCTTCCCAGCTTTAGATATTTATAATATGCAAACTATGGATCGTGAAGCTGTAATATTTGGTGTGAACACGAATGGGACCACGGGGAAGAGGAATATAGGTCATCAGATATGGCCACCAGCATTTGCTCAATAACTACATTTGCTACATTTCCTCCATTCATGTCTACGATTGCTTCCATTCGGGATTTGCAGTGATAGACGGCTGACCGAAGCTGCCCAACATCCAATATGGCCACATGATGGCGAAAGCAGGTCTGAAAGGTCCGTTAATGTGGCAGGTGCCGCACGATACGAGTTTACACAATAGACTTGAGACCCAAAGAAAAAAGTATGCTGGGATTCTTAATATATTGAATATATGAAGTACAAATGAGGACCAATGGTTCCTAGATACTTTCATAAGGTACTCCGGCAAATAAATACATTTAAACATACATGTTAGAATGCCATAAGCTTAGGGAGACATCACAAGCAGGTTCTGATCTATGCGAGTTCTTTCCTTTTACCCAAAGATGATATTGGAGGAGCTGGTGAGGAATCTCAGTTTGACTTTGGTCGGAGTGTTTGTGGTGACGCTGGTGCTTATTGGAGACCTGAAGGTGTCCCTTTGGGTTTTCTCCTGCATTCTTTTCACCCTCGTTGGAATTGCTGGGACCATGCGATTTGCCGGACTCACTATCGAGATCATGACTGCCATGCTTCTCATCTTGTCTGTCGGCCTGGCTGTGGACTATTCTACTCACATTGCCCACAAATTCATGGTGACGCATGCCGACTCCAAAGATGGTGCTCGAATAATTCCCCTTCAAAATCACTGCTGCTGAACTTCGTTATCTTGTCTGTCGGCCTGGCTGTGGACTATTCTACTCACATTGCCCACAAATTCATGATGACGCATGCAGACTCCAAAGATGGTGCTCGAATAATTCCCTTTCAAAATCACTGCTGCTGAACTTCGTGCAAAATGACAACTTTCCTGAATTTATATCTTCATAGCACGAGTGAAAATCACGTTGGCAGAAATCGGTCCCCCTGTTTTCAACGGAGGCTGCACTACTATGATGGCTTTTGTGTTCTGTACTTGGAGCGATAGCTATATATTCTACACTAGTCTCATAGTAAGCTTCCCTACGTTCCCCTCTTGAATTCAGCATTCATTGTTTTGTGCTTTATTACATGGGAGCACTAAAAGAACACTGAACTCTACAGCCTGAATGCAGAAACCTTCTTTAGGTAACGGTCCTTTAAGATTACATGAATTCCTTTTGGAGAAAAGGAGCTCTTTAGCTTAAGGGCCCCTTCATCTCCCCTATATGAGATTTGTGCATTCGGGCCTAAACATTTACATGATTAAAGTAGCAACTTCCTTCTGTAATTCATGGCACACAATTAGTCATGTATTCCATTTTAGCCACTGAATCGGAAGTTGGTTTCGTGAGAGGTATGGTCATATAAGCGTTAAAAAGAAGATACGTGAAAGAAGTTGGCAACGAGTTACATTATTCCGTATCCTCATAACTTTCTCAATACAAGCATTTTCTTCTTCATTGAAGCATGGCATGATCGACTCCGCCATTTCATAGGGCAGTTACAAAAATCATCTCACCACAGGAACAAAATTGAGTTTGTATTGGGACACTTCATTTAGGCTTCCAGTCTATTGTGCGCAGTCCCACCTGCATTTTGTGTGGCCAAATTCTCCCATTACAGATGCGTTTTTTTAAACCTTGCTCACTCATTTATATTTCCTCCGAACAAGTTCGTATTTCGGGAGTTGATTGAGGAATATTCACATTTACCATAAGGCATTGCCAGAGTTGTAATCACCATGTGTTGCTTATAGGAATTTTGAATGGATCAATATTTTATGTGCCATCGTGTGAAATGATGCATTTATTATACGGCAGCTCATCTGGTCCTCTGTGATATATGGCCTATACCATGGATTGGTCTACCTGCCAGTGATGTTGAGTTGGTTTGGCTCTGATCCCTTTTTCGACATACTACCTGCCATTGGTACTAACTCTTCCAAGAGGGCCCTGGATGCAAATCGTGAAATATCACCTGGAAATCCAGAAGTCCCAATATGTTATTCCCCGACCTTCCAGGTACCTGCAAGATACAATATCAATGAAATTATTGATGATGTATTATAATTCTCAAAAATTCCCTTTTGGTCCCTAAAATTTTACGCTCCTTAGAAATCCTAACCACCTTATTGGAAAGTATTTCTTTTTCTGGATTTTCCATTCTGCCGATGGAGAAACATCCGTTTCGCTTTAATAGTATTCCTTTTATCAATAGAACATGCACACCTCATCGCAGAAATCAATCTCCTGTTTTTGTTATGGGGTAATATTTTTCAGATCACACTATCATGAGTATGAACATCATATCAGGTCATGCTATAGGAGTACACCCCATGATAGAGCGCGCTTTCCAGCTCCTTGGCAAACACAGATACATCATGTGTACTTATCTTGAGACTTCGGAGTATGAGTACCTGGGGATTGAAATATGATATCCAGCTTCACAAATCCTGCCCCTACTGCGCATTAGCTCCATAGTTTTCCCACTTCGTACTTCAATCAAGATATCTAGAGAATCAATTTTCCATATTTATCCATACAGCATGTCAGCATATTAACGACAACTAGGAACACAAAGTAGATTTTCCATGTTGAAGTGGGTATAGGTCTACGGATTCAACTTTTTTTTTAATTAGTTGCCATATTCATGAGAAATGCATCAAGTTTTGAAATATGAACTGATATTCTTCCAGTGGAGCGTAAACTGGAAGAAGAGCAAAAGAGGATATCCGATCGGAAACGATCCAGGACAGACAGAGAGAGGGAAAGTCACAAGGATGGACTCGACTTCCGTCACCTCCAAGAATTATGGAATGGAGCAATGCACGGGGACATCGTATCGCCCTCGATGTCCCAGTGAAATCTGAATCTCACTCTGCTTCCATGTTCCTTCTGTGATGCGATGTTCAGTGACCACAAGCACCAGCGGGACACCCCTGGACAACCGAGGCGAGTTATTCCATTTAAATTCATCCGATGAAAATGAAATTATTCATTCTCCGACTTGTAGAGGCAGTGAATGGTTTGGGAATCCATTTGGATTATCCATTAAGGGGCAGTACAGTACCTTTTGATTTGGGTCTGTAAAAAACGTTCTTGAAATCCTAAACGCCTGCTCCCATGTGCATGTACCATATATCAATGTGATCCACTCTATGATCTGCTTCTAATTAGTGTACTGTACTTCTAAGTACCGCACCAAGCACTAACTAGTACTTGATCTTAGTATCTCAAAATCGGCAAGATCGAATCGCAAAATCCCAAGGTTTTCCATGGAGACTTTGTATCATGTCTATTCAGCCTTGCGGCAGGCACGAAGGCTAATTTTGGCTTTGAATAAAGTGGTTTATTGGTTCTGCTGTCTTTCTCGCTGAATCTCTGAAGACTATTTCTAAAACAAGGAGAAACCTTTATTACTAAATAGATGTCCAGGCGACAGGTCCCCAAGACAAGTCCAAGTGACATCTAAATAAGTAGAAATACGAGTGCAGGGAGAGGATTGATAGAGGAGTGCTGAATAATACTATAGATGTTGCGGAGCTTAACTGGTCTAACTTCCTCGGCACGCACGCTGGGTGGCATGAAAAAAAAAGTTGACACTCAAGTGACAATTGAAGAAAAGGACTTCTTGTCTCTCCGACCTCCATGCCAGTTTTCTATCAAATATACAGCAGGATTCTGACCCCATGGGCTAGGAAGGGAAAACCTCCCCCACGGATGTTATGAGCGGGGAGCCTACATTCCCTCTCGAGGAATCCATGTCTAGACAGGAGAGGAAAAGAATGAGAAACACGAAGAAACCATACGGTGAAGGCTAATTCTCTTTTCCTTCCTCGGCTTGGAAAGAACGATTTTATCCGTGACTACTGTATTTAACGACCCGTTCACGGAAACGTATGCTCTTGGACAATGTAAAATCTATTTCGTCGTGCAAATTTATTCAAGAAGGTCTTGAATGTTCATGCAATGTTGTAAGCTTTTCCACCATAAGTATCAGCACAGTGGCTATCAACAGTTGGAGCCGATGGAGAATCCAGGCTGCCTCTTGATATATGCTTTGCATAGAGAGAAAGGTAATTCAATATGGTTTGCTTCCTTCAATGAGGAGGACCCCTTTCTCCGATTCAGTCAGGAAATATAGCACCTGAATACAACCTGATTTCCAAATAGGAACCACGCTAATAGGTAACTGTAAGCCACGTGTTCTGTTGTCACTTTCAATGAAAAGCTCAAAAACAACTTTGTTGCAATTATCGACCACCCAATCGTAAGGTCAAAACACATTCCATGTAATTTATTCTAAGCCTGAAATTGGTTTGTACCATTGATTTCGGGTTATGAATGGAAAGGAAGAGGAGTGAGAGGATGAGCTTCAAGGATCTCGCGCATCGCCCTTGGTCCAAGAGCTGGTGAGTCCGAGGGGAGGGGAGACACTCTCCAACATCCATGAAATGTCGAGGCCTCTTTAGCTCTTTTTTCATATAGAGTACTGTGTCCCAATTTAATCCTGTGACGTAGAAGTCACAGGATCAAATTGGGACACAGTACTCTATATATTTTGTAGAGGATCACGAGAGTTTCAACTCAAGATACTCCTCCAAGGTAGTTTCATAGTTTCTTAGGCTTCGCAGTCAAAGAAGCTGGCATTGTCGACTTTTTCCTGTAATTGCAGCCTTCATTCCAACATTTACTTGTAGGTGCCAGGCAAACAAGCTTTCTCCATGTGAGTCAGATCTGCGAATGGAGAGAGGACCTTATTTATCCGTTGGACGACCCATCCTTGATCTAAAGCGTCTCCTCGTTATTGACATCACACGGACGCATGTCACAGAAGCATGCGACATCTACTGTACCCAGCCAGAACTAACTTCCAGGATTTTATTATTCGGTGTTCAGTGAAGTGAAGTGAAGTTCAGTGTTGTTCCGGTCGGCATAGGCGGCGATTCATAGGGGCTCAGGGGGCTCGAGCCCCCCAAAAAATTTGGCAGAAGAATGAGGAATACTAGGAGTACTGCCTCTGAGTCCCCCAAAATTTCTCAACAAATCGCCGCCTATGCCGGTCGGGGTTATTCCGGCCGTTCGTATTTCGAATCAACGTTATTCCAGTTATCCCAGTTCCTGTCAGCGTTAATTCCGCCACCCCTTATCGATCTTAAGAATTAAACTTGGAAAAATACAAGGAATGGCGTAATATTTTTGTTCATTTCCCCCTAGTGCAATGATGAGCAGCAAAGAATTTAATATTTGCCATCCCTTTGAAAAATGCGATCGTTTTTTTTCTTTTTTTATTTTCGTCGGTCAGCAATTTCCATAGCAACCTGACAATTCGACTCAGTGCGCATGTGCAGCATTCCGCCTGGGTTGGAGTGGCAGCATAGAGTAGAGAGTGTAACTAGAGGCGACACTCCGTTCGAATCCCATTCATTGACAGTGTCGCAATATTGATATCTCTGTCGATACTCCACCCAGCTTGCGCACATTAACTCCTCCATGGCCAAACAGCGGACTCAACGAGACACGCGTGTTACAAAGAGGGATGCCTTTGGGTCGAATCCACGAACGAGTCGATTCCCAATTTGCTGCCTCGAAGACTAAGCGATAGGGAGAGGAATGCACCGTACGATGGGAGCCTTCCTTGTGGAGACGTCACACAAACCATCATGGCGTTGTTTTATGCTTCTTATCCCCGAGCACATGATTACTTGAATGTAACCCTCTCAAGGCAGAGCCCTTCAATCGGTCTTGCTGTAATTTGCAGGAAGTTCCTCTAAGTATCCTGAACGATCTAAATCCAAAAACCTGATCAGTACCTGACTGTCTACCCAGCTTAAAATCCCGGTTGGAAATAGCTATAATTTCCAGTTGGATCGCAGCTGTAAATTCGGACTCATTCCAACTGGGAAGCAGCTGGAAAGTAGTCAGATTCAGATTGGTTCCTAGTTGCAATATCACTAGCTGAATGAGAATCTTTTTGTTGAATGTTTTTGTCGGAAGTTCAGAAACAGAAACAACTGAATTTCAGTTGTAAATTCAGCTGTATTCCAGCTGTCGGGTCCTCTGTATGAAATTCTAACTGGAAATTTCCAGCTGGAAACAGCTATTAAAACCAGTCGCATTCCAGTTGGAAAATTCCAGCTATAAACCAACCGGGACCTACTATTTTCCAGCTCTTTGCCATCTGGAAATGGTTCGAATTTGCAGATTTAGTCCAGCTAGAATATTTCAGCTGGGATTTTAAACTGGGTAAAGGCAAGAGCAAGGAATATGCTATAGGTCTAACAGCATTAGGGTCTTTGTCATCGTTCTCAAAGAACTTAGTGACAACATACCATGAAGACCTACTTTATGAGAACTTGAGAGTAAAGTGGCACGAAGGTCTTCATCCAAGGTGCCAGTCCTTCCAAAAAAAATCGAATCCAGAAACTCTCTTCGAAGATAGGCATCTATTTGGTTGCAATTATGAAGCCTAACTTCGCATCAAGGAAGTAACATTAGGTCTTTAAATTGTCAACTTAAAAAAAAAGATAATAAGATGTGATATACTGTAGAAGATAAAGAAATATTACTTTGGTGGTGTCTTCATAATATCAATATGTTGGTCTTCGATTCCCGATGGGGTAATAATGATTTCTTTATATACCTGATATTTGTGATGAGTTTTCCATTCATCATTTTCATGATTTCGTTTGATACAATGAATTTAAAGGTAACCATGTGCATGGGGATACGAAGCATAGAACCGCGAATGGTTGCTGCGTGACGTCGCCACAAGGAAGGCTCCGATTAGACGGTGCATGTTGTTGATAACAAGCCACCAGATGTCTCTGCAATACTTCGTCCCTCCCCCCCCCCCCCCCCCCCCCTCCCCCCCCCCCCCCCC